AGGGGCCGATCCAGGATTTCATCCCATTGGAAGACAAAGAGATTATGGTGCCCCCGGATTTCGGTGCTGTTGAAATGAAATTTTGGGGCCGTTTCAATCGCCTGCTTCGATTTGGTGGCTCTAGAATATAAATGTTTTGGTGTTCCGAAAGAGGAGGTTTGGTGCCATCTTACCGGATCGGCCAATACAGGTAGTCGTCAGGTAGTCGTCACTACAGGTAGTCGTCAATGGAGAGCTACGGGCATCGCAAGTCCACCGGAAATTGATGTGTCTTGAGAATGAGGACTTTGGTGCCCTTGTGATGCACCTGGAATCGGGTGCCTGTGTAAAGTAGATATTGCGATGCCACGAAAAGAAGGCTTTTGCTGCTCATGTTGTTTCGTTCTTTAAATGGCCAGCTTTCTTTCGGTGCCGCTTTCAAATAAAGGTTATGATGTCCAGAAATGAAGGTTTTGGTGCCCATCAGTCAAAAAGACCAATCCAGGATTTCGTCAGGAGGGAGGGCACAGCGCTGTTGTGCCCCTGGAATTTGGTGCCCCTTAAAAATAACGGTTTGGGGCTTTTGTGATCTCCCTAGACTGTCCCCTTGAGTGTTTCTTGACCAAAATTTATTTTTTCACCATGGAATTTTTGGTGCTCCTTCAGCCCAAGGGGAGCACAATCCGTGGCTCCCCTCTGGCTCCGTCGGTATGAGTTTGCTAAGTAACCTGCCGGAATGAGAATGAGGACAAATATTCGCGAGCACTCGAGAACGCACACCATGACAGTTACGCGTACTGAAATGGGCCCGTGATGACAAAATGGCCCACAGCTCAATATGTTATCTCAGCAAACGCTAATCCGCCGTTTAGACGAGGCAATCAAAGCAGAAAAAGTCAGTCCGGTGAAGAGAATGCAGAATGGTAGGGACGGCACGTTTTGCCAAAAGTGGGGAACCACTGTACTGAACGTGATCCGATGGTTAAAGCCAGGCTTTGCGGCATCCCAAATATGTACCTCTGACCTCACCTCTTCCGAACAGAGCATGCGCACCACCTGCTCCGCGTTGGCTCAATCGGGAGACCTGTCCATTCGAAGATCTCCCGCGTCATCTGCAGCCGGCCGGCAGATCTGGCAGCTCTGCGGCGGCTGATGAGGCGCCCGCTGCCGGGGCGGCGCGCAGGGGCGTTCTCAGGCCGGCGAACAGGGGGTGTCGTGAGGCCATTGACAAGGCTGCAGCACTCGCCCACGAGATCAACACCACCGAGTCCGCGCTCGGGTTTGACCCCTGACCCCGACGTCCGGCGATGCCCCTGTGTCAGATGATTTCAGTTCACCTGCCCGCGACGTCCGGCGATGCCCCTGTGTCAGATGGTTTCAGTTCATCTGCCCGCGGCGCTTCCGGCGGCGCTGAGGCCGCTCTGAACGGACGAACCGGCACCAGGAGCGGCGCGACGCACAGCACCGAATGACACATCACGGCTGCGACCCCGGGCAAGGCCGCCAAAACCAGCGAGTGATTCGCGGCGCCGCTCGCGTGCAGTATAGCACGAGAAGGTCAGCAGGGTGTGCGTTGAAATGCCCGGGGATGGCCACCCGTTGGCTCGGGGATGGCTCGGGGTGGCCAGATGGGGAGGCCACCCGTTGTTAAACAACGGGTGGCCGTTGTGGCCTCTGAGCTGCCGCCCAGAGACCAGCGTGTGTCCGGCGCGTCTCCGGACAAAAGCCGTTTGTTATACATGCGCTGCTGATGGCAGAGTGTAGTATACGTGGTCTGTTATAGCCATTGCCTGGAATGCCATACGTGAGAGAAGCCAAGCCCGGCACTCGAGACCGGTTTAATGAATACCTGGGGACCCACGTTTGAGGTTGAGCGTGCACACTGATAGGGCAGCATAGCATATAGCACGGGGGCAGACACACGGCAGTAGTACAACAGACTTCAGCTTTAGCATAGCCATGCTGGTAACAGCAAAAGGCAACACGAATAATAAGATGTTACAACCGCTGTGTGTCCGTAATCTTTATTCGAAGCTCAGCGCGAAGACGCCGCTTTGGGAAGCGATTTTTTGCGGCTTTCTGAGGTAGAGTACGTTTAAAAGTAGCTATCCAGTGGTTACTTTAAACACCATATTCAGCAGCCAATGTTGTAACCTCATAATCGGTACGAGTCATCCAGGCCTTTTGCCTTCAACGTCTGTGTTTCGGGCAGCCCTTGGAAAGGTGCATATGACCTTATACCGGACGCTTTATGTATGGTAACCTATATTTATATAAAGGTCGTCAAAATATTCGGCTCTCTTCGAAACATAAGTTTGTGTTTCGAGTAGCCCTTAGCCCTGTTTCGTGTATCGGGGTAGGAATGTGCGGTCTCAAATGATCGATGATTACGGTATCTTTTATTGGCAATAATGCGCAAGGATTTGAAACATTTGCTGTTCTTCACGCGCCTTAAGTTTTTGATCATGGCCGTCCGTAAGATACGGGGCTGATGGAGAGAGGTGGGGGGGAGGGGGGGGGGGGCGTGATGGAAGAGTAACAAGGGGAGGGGAGGCTTAAGGCAGCATAACGCTACACTCGGAGTGGTTGCAAATCGTGCCAAAATATTTAGAAACACATTGGAACATTGAAGCCGGATGCTGCCGGCTTTCTCTCAGTACAAGGAACACGCCCGTCATTTATTTCGCATATGTAGCTCTATTAGGAGCTAAACGGACGGTGTGCTTGGAGCCTTACAACACAGCGTAACCAGAGGGAAGGGGTCGCCCAGCGTAACCAGTGGGTAACCAGGGGAGGGCTACCATTTTGTTCATTCTTGGTCATGACCACTGTCTTCAGACATCTCATAATGTATTCCAACGACTGCTTCACATCGTCGTTAAACCACAAACTTCTAGTATGGAAAACGTCAGCCGTGCTCAGTATACCAGCTGATTACAGAGGAAATCATGCTCAGTTTTCAATGTCCGGGCATGCCTGTCCTGCGTTCACAGTATCAGGTATTCGGTAAGCAATTACTGCATCCAACCATGCCAGCATAACCTTGTAAATGGCGAAGGTCAAGCACAGATGGGACCAATTCAGCAATTCATAGCCGGGGGCGTTGTCTGAATCGGAGAATTCTGGTCATCTCGGCAGTCCCTACTCCAATTTTCCCGCATCTGTTGCTCATCTCCAAAGCCTGATCATGTGAAGAGGGCTTGGAGTTTTGGGCCTCTGACCGGCCCGGTGTTTGGCATTTATCTCTATCCCTGTTCCGTACGGCTACTTCGGACATTTATAGACTCCGCCGTTGACCGGCCTTGTCACCGCATTGGGCCTCACTGTTCGTGTCGTGAAACCCAGCATCGGCGCCAGGCGCCGAGCGCATCGGAACCTCCCGGTCATGTCGCGGGCATCTCGTCTGGTCCGTTATGGCGACTTTTACGCCCTAATCAGTATATATATATATATATATATATATATATATATATATATTGTTTCTGCATCCATGCCATTGTCGGAGACCCTTGGCCCTCTTCCGAGTGAGTAGGGCGGGGGAGGGGGGGGGGGCGCTCTAGCCGTTCTGGATCCTTTGTCGTTTCTCGGACTGTTGCTTTTTTGTCTGTTTGTTTCTTTTTGCTGTGTCTCCAGTAAACGTCATAACCCTTTGATCGTCCCCGGGCCCTTCAGCATTTCGCTTATCTCAGCTGTCAAGAGACCGGTTATATGGGGACTCCCTCGTCTTTTCTGAATCTTAAGCCGTCTCTGACTTCTGAACGTCCCTCGGGAATCCCGAACATCGCCAGCGCCTCAAACAAATTTCCAACAAATTCCGCTCGTGTGCTTCCTTCAGCAGCATACAACGCACAGTGTGCTTGGAGGGGTGAAAAACCCGATCCAAGTTTGAAGGTAGAAGGTGTGTTCTGGCAAGCGTACGCTACGTCATCTAAGTGCCCGATAAGCGGTAAAAAGCTTAGCGTGATCTGAGCTACTTTATCAGGAAATTCACACAGACCGGCATGAGTATCGTCCATATATTCAGCTACAAATATTCCATTTAACCTATCAATGCCATGAAAAAATCACAGGCTAAACGCGTCCACAAAACCTTGCGTTTTCTTCCACTATGACTCACATATGGATCTACACAGTTTCGGAAATAAATAACAGAAGCACCAGCTGAGTGGGTCCAGCAGTTTGTGATCCTGGCTGGTGGCCAGCCCCTGCTTATGTGGCCCTCGCCATTACAGTCACACAAGCACAACGTAAACAGCGCCTGGGGTCGGCCCATCCCCGAGGAATGCCACCTCTGTCTGTTTGAGTTGCCACACGGGCGCCAGTGACACCACGCCGCACACAGGTCTCCGCCGTGCCTCTGTTTGGCCCGCGGCGCCGCGACAAAGGGTCGCCGTCCCCGCGCCGCCACTGTCTGCCCGCCGTCCGGCGTCTCGGCGCGCCGTGCCGACAGCATCACAGATGTGTTCTCCAAAACAGTCGCGCCGGCACACACACGCGCCGGCGGCCGGCCGCGCGACGGGTCCAGTATTGCCTTCAGGGTCGCCGAGGAGGGAGGCGGAGCTCAGAGCGCGTGGCGACGCAGGAAGCGGCCGCCGCAGCCTCCTGCGTGCCGACTTGCGGCTGCGTCTCCGGCCGGCCGGCCGCAGCGCGACGTTGGACCAATCGCCGGCGAGCGCGGGGTACGCCGTCAGCGGGTGAACGTCCTCGGCGCGCGCGCGCCGGCCACGCTGCCCGTGTCGATCAGCTCGCGCTGCTGCGCAGCCGACCAGCCGGCGGCGGTGGGCAGCCGCGCGGCCAGCAGCCGCTGCTCGTGGCGCCAGCGCTCGCCGGCGGCGGCGGTGCGCGCCTCGGCCAGCAGCCCGGCGCGCAGCCGATCGACCGCCGCGGCGAGTCGTCGGCGCCGTACACCAGGTGGATGGCGGCGTCGGGCAGCGCCAGCTGCAGCCGGGTCGTCGGCTCGGCTGAGGTTGTAACGACCGAGCCGCTGCAGCTGCTGGGCGTCCGGCTCGCGGCTGGCGGCCGGCCGCAGGAAGAAGAGCTGCTGACGGCCGTCGCCGTCCGTTAGCCGCACGTCCAGCAGCCGGCTGGCGTTCAGTACGCTGAGCATGACGTCCTGGAGCACGCCGGCCGGCCCGGCCTGGCGCAGCGCCGCCCGGCCCTGCTCGTCCGACAGCAGCAGGCCGGCGCCGAGTGGCGGCCCGACGGCGGCCAGCCGAGGCACCAGCGGCCAGCGGCCGCCGCCCCCGGTCGCCAGCTGACCGCCGGGTGACACCTGGTCCGGCTCGGAGAAGACGGCACGCCGCCGCCGCTCCATGCAGGCCAGGCCCGAGATGAGGCGCGGCGCGGCCGGCAGCTGCGGCACCGCCAGCGGCGGAGACGGCTCCGGCACCAGGCGTTGCGCGTACACTGAGCCCTGCATCCGGTCCAGGTCAAAGCTGAACTCCGTCAGCCACGAGCGCAGGTCTGGGGACGAACAGGCGAAAGTCACACACGGCGCCGGTAGTGTCAGGTGGAGAACAACACACAGCGCCGGCAGTGTCGGGCGGAGAACAACACACAGCACCGGCAGTGTCAGATAGAGCATCACAAACAGCATCAGCCACAGGCACCAGGCGTTCCGCGCGCTTTCATAGCACTGCTCGTCGCCAGGCTGCCCGACAAATTATTACGCTTTGATCTTGCACCAGGGAAAACCTCCGGCCCTTGCGTATCGTTAGTTCAGGCAATTAATGAAGCTCAGCCAATTATAGAATGCGTAAACACAATGAGAAGGGAGACTGCTCCCATAGGAAGCAAGGAAAGCATGCAATATTCTGTCGGTGGGTGGCACTGGGTGGACATTAATTTCTCCCGACGGGACCCACGGCCCAGTGCGCTACTGTTGTGTCATCTTCCAAACTTGTGTTGCTTCCGCTCCGGCCGGGTCGACTCCGACGGCGAGTCGCAGCGGGGGGGGGGGGGGTTCGACTCGCAGCCCGATCAGGACAGCGCAGCCTTGAGTCGACTCTAAGATTTCGGCTTAAAGAACTATGACGCAACTTTGCAATGGGTGTGTCCTTTAGATGTTTGTGGTATTTCTTCGCGTATTTGTGATTTGTGTGATCAGTCATTGTGTAGCTCCAGGTGAGCCTACACGGCACATGCATTTCGACAGGCCAGTTTCGACTGTTCGATGTGGTGAACATATCTGTAGCGGTGACGCTATCAGAACGCCGTATTACCTTTTCATTTAAGTCAACCAAACGGCTTGGTTGATTCAACACCGATTGCAACTTGCGACAAAAGTTGGAGGCAATCCGCTCTAGCGTGATTCCATACAAATTAGATTGAAACTGGGGTTGATTCATACTCTATCCGGCACTTCACACGTCTGACTGCGCTTAGGGTAGTCCCAATTCACCGCCTCCTGAAGCTGAATCGTCTCCGAAAAGTATGCTGGGCTCAAGTCACGTGAGGATGCATGCGCGCGGTGTGGGCCACCGGAGGAGGGCTTGGCATGCCCGTCCGGATGGCATGAGCTCCGCGAGCAGCATCACAAGCCGTGTGCACGCCACGATGATGATGTGTGCGGCAGGCTGCTGCGAAGGCCCTGACATACACTCAGCTGCAAAGGCCCTGACATACACTCAGCTGCAAAGCCCCTGGCATACACTTAGTTAGCTGAAGTCCAGCATCCACAATGTGAAATTACTGTCACAAAATACCGAAGCGTGCCACCGATCCCTAGCCCGGGTCGGAGAGGGTGGGGTGGGGCTGGGAAGGGGCAGCAGCGCCAGCCTGACACCCACCTGAGGGCGGCGGGTGGCGGGTGGCCCCGTTCACCGGGTCGTTGTCCATGAAGCGGTACAGGTGCAGCGCCTCGGGCTGGTGGAGCCGCGCCAGCGCCGCCTCCCAGCCGGGCGTCAGGTACTGCTGCAGGCGCGGCTCGTACACGCGGCCCGCCGGGTCGAACAGCAGGCCCAGCTCGAGGTCACGCACCCAGCCGAACAGGTCGACGTCGAGGGGCAGGCCGGCGTTCGTGTCGCGGATCACGTGGCCCCACGGATCCCGCCGCATCTCCTTCACCACGCTCCGGTGCGTGTTGAAGACGGCCAGCGGCGTGCCACGCGTGTCGGCCGCCACGTAGTGGCGCTGGCCCGCGCTCTGCACGGCCAGCAGGTGGCCGCGGTGGCAGTAGAGGTAGGTGTCGGTGCGGCCCTGCGCCGGCCGGTGCGCGTGGCTGAGCCGGCGCGGGTGGTACGGGTCGGCGTACAGGTACTGCACCACCTGGCCGTCGGAGGTGCGCCGCGCCGCCAGGCGGCCCAGCCAGTCGTACACGTAGCCCACCTGGCGGCCGGCGGCGTCCACCACCTGCGTCAGCCGGCCGCGCGCGTCGTACGTCATGCGCCGGCCGTCAGCTTGCGCCAGGAAGCCGTTGGCGTCGTAGCGCATGTCGTCAACGTCCCCGTAGCGTGTCATGCGGTCGGACGCGTCGTACTGCCGGTCGACCGAGCCCTGCCGCGTGGTGACGCGCCGCACGTTGCCGCCGGCGCCGTACTCGTACGTCCAGCTCTCGTGCGCCTCCGCCGCCGCCAGCCGGCCGTCGGCCGTGTAGTTGAAGCGCATGCGCACCACGTTGTTGCCGACGGCGGCCGTTTCGCGGCTGATGCGGCCCGCCTTGTCGTAGACCGTTTCCAGCCGGAACACGTCGTAGCCGTGGAGGTTGAGCACGGTGAGCTCCGGCTCGTTGAAGCCGCTCATCATGGTGACCTTGCTGAAGGACTTGTCGCCGTCGTGCACGACCGAGCGGTTGGGGTGGCTGTAGTACATCTTGAGGTCGTCCACCTGCTCCAGCGTGCCCTGCGTGGATGAGTAGCGCAGCACGATCGGCGACAGCTCCGTGTTGCCCACCTCCACGTTGATCTGCGGACGCGGCGACGACAGGCGGGTTAGCAGGCCGTTCGTGTGTCGGACCCCCACGTCCGCTACCATTGGGCGCTTTTATCACACCAGCCATGATGAGAGGTGTCCCCAGAACTGCGATCACGGCTGGGTCCGTGATGACCCAGCGACCGGCGCGAGTGGACGCCGTAATGGTCCTGTGCCGCGCTCGCCGCCCGCAAGAGCCTGCATTCGACACGAAAACGCCTGAAACGCCCAGCCACCGAGCACTGGGCCGATACATGAGCTGAAGGCTGAGCCGGGAGCGCGGCGCCAGCACTCGCCTTGCGTAGTCGCGCGTTGCCGTCGTACTGGTACTTGAACTTGGTGCTGTGGAAGTCGTCGCCGCGCTGGAACTTGTTGTCCTCCTTCTTGCGCAGGCCGGCGTGCAGCCTGAACTCGGTGACGGCGTCGAAGCCGGCGTCCTGCGCGCTGACGGCCTGTAGCGCGGCGCCGTCGGCCTGGTAGCGCAGCAGCAGGTCGCCCGTGCCCCAGACGGCCTGCTGCAGGCGGCCGGCGCTGTCGTGCTGGTACAGCGTCCGCCGACCGTCCGGCAGGCGACGCTCCACCACCTGCCGGGTTGCGGGTCACAGGTCAGGTGTGGAGTCCTCAAACTCCCGTCAGAACACCGATCAGGTATGGGGGTGCTCAAACTCCCGTCAGAACGCATGTCAGGTATGGGGTCTTCAAACACCCGTTAGGTGTAGGTCAGGTCCGAGGTGCCATGCCACCTGCTGGGGTCAGGACTGGGGTCCGGGGATACAACCACACACACACTACACACATCCCGGCTCACGAACACCGGCCAGGGCTGGTGTGTTATACCGAACGTAGCGGTACAAGAAAGGTGTGATGGGTCACGGACTCAGGAGTGACAACAGAAATGCAGGACGCCAACAGGCCAGGGGAGAGTGCATACGAGACTGTGCCGGCACACAAAGACTGTCCAGCCAGCCTGAGGCGCAGGCGCGGGTGGTGCGAGCGCGGGTGGCGCTGGAGCGAGTGGCGCGGGAGCGAGTGGTGCGGGAGCGATTGGCGCGGGAGTGAGTGGCGCGGGAGCGGGTGGCGCGGGAGCGGGTGGCGCGGGAGCGAGTGGCGCGGGAGTGAGTGGCGCGGGAGTGAGTGGCGCAGGAGCGGGTGGCGCGGGAGCGGGTGGCGCGGGAGCGAGTGGCGCGGGAGTGAGTGGCGCGGGAGTGAGTGGCGCGGGAGGGAGTGGTGCGGGAGCGAGTGGCGCGGGAGCGATTGGCGCGGGAGCGAGTGGCGCGGGAGTGAGTGGCGCGGGAGCCGGTGGCGCGGGAGCGGGTGGCGCGGGAGTGAGTGGCGCGGGAGTGAGTGGCGCGGGAGTGAGTGGCGCGGGAGCGGGTGGCACGGGAGTGAGTGGCGCGAGAGGGAGTGGCGCGAGAGTGAGTGGCGCGGGAGCGGGTGGCGCGGGCGCGGGTGGTGCGAGCGCGGGTGGCGCGGGAGCGGGTGGCGCGGGAGCGGGTGGAGCGAGAGGGAGTGGCGCGGGAGCGGGTGGCGCGGGAGTGAGTGGCGCGGGAGCGGGTGGCGCGGGAGCGAGTGGCGCGGAGGCGGGTGGCGCGGGAGCGGGTGGCGCGAGAGGGAGTGGCGCTGGGGCGGGTGGCGCGGGAGTGAGTGGCGCGGGAGCGGGTGGCGAGGGAGTGAGTGGCGCGGTAGCGGCCCTCTGACTGCACGCCCCCGTCGGAGACCCACCTGCAGCCTGTCGTTGAGCAGCAAGGTATAGGGCTGCTCGGAGCCGGGCCACGAGTAGGTGAGCTGCATGAGGCCGAGCCCGGTCTGAACGGACCAGGCGTGCCGGCCGCCGCCTGGCACCGTCACCGCCTCCACGGCACCGGCGGCACCCAGCTGCAGCTGGTACTCGCCGCCGCCCGGCATCACCACCGCCGACGGCTGCAACATCGCGTCACGTCACGTCACGTCACGTCACGTCACGCCGCTTCACCAGCGCCGACTGCTACCGGACAGCGAGATGGCCCAGCGCCGCGCTTTCCTGACACGGATTTCAGAAATACGGTGAGTTCCGTTTCGTAACAGAAGGGACGTATCCCGCGCAAACTCTGGCGATCGTTTCCGGCTTTGGTGACGCGCCGTGCGGCTGGTTTTTCGGCGAGCGTGCGTCACACGTCAGGCCGAGACGCCGGCGATGCTTCGGCGGCTTCGGCGGCCCACCACTCGCATCTGGCTAACTCGGTTACCGAGCGCCGCGGGGCTGACACCATTACCAGCGATCACGGCTGTCCGGTCACAGAGGCCAGGCTCGACCTTTTATCAGCCCGCTTTCTAGCGACGACGGCGATGATTGCTCACACCTGCCGGTTCCATCAGCACCGGATATCGACGTAAGGCAATCGCAGCGCGTTCCTGGCGCTCCGCAAGCTCTGCATTCTGCATAATTCCAATCATGGGAATGATCCGGGGTTTGTATATTCGCTGCTGACGACAACACATTTAGCTGAAAGCAGCACTTTTGGTCACACGTTTGCGATGCCCACGTGCCTTTAATTCTTCCTTAAAATACGCGCCATCAGACATGTAGATTTGATCTGATTTCGCTGCTAGCGTCCGGATGCTGAATGTTACGTCAAACGACGGTACCCGTATGTACTCTGAGCTCTGTGAGCTGGTCTTACCTGCTTCTGGTGGTTTTAGTTTCTCTGGTAATTAGTCTGGCTGATTGTTCGAGATTTTGGTGGGTCCACTTCATTTCAATAGATCGTAGTGTCGTCAGTTTTAGTCTAGTTTAGTAGTCTACTTAGTATCATCTAGTTTTAGGTCAATCTGTGTCTTAGCTCGGCCAGTTGTTAGTCTACTTAGTCTGGCCAGGTCTCCCAGTCTGCGGTGTGAGCAGTTCCTCGAAAGGCAGGCCAGTTCCTGTGTGAGCCGGTCCGTTTACTGTGCGAGCCCTCTGCTATGGGTGTGGGTCTGACCCGCGCGCTGCAGGTCAGTCCTAGGTGTCATATGATCGAATCTGACCGGGTTTGACTCGGGTGTTATATGTGGCTCGGGTATGACTGATTCTGTAAATGCGTGTCTTGCCAGAATGCTGTGATGCGGGCCTGACCTATGTGAGGTTGTTAGGTCTGACCTGTGTGAGGTTGTTTGGTCTGACCTGGGTGCTGCGGTGTAGATCTGGCCTGGATGCTGAGAGTTCGTGTCTGGCCTGGGTACTGCAGGTTCGGGTGCGGGTCTGACCTGGGTGCTGGTCGGCTGGCTGAACCGGTATTGCAGCTTGGAGCCGTCGGGGCCGGTGACGGTCGTTAGACGGCCAACGCGGTCGTAGCGGTACGACTCGGTCCGGCCGCCTCTCTTCCACTTCCTCAGACGGCCGAACTGGTCATACTCGAGCTCCACATCTGTGGGGCAGGACACGCTACACATCAGCCGAGGTTATACGTCAACAAAGGCCAAATATAGGTCTGCAGGAGTGAAAATTTATCAACGTCGCAAACCATTTGAGGCCATCACACCACTCACCGAGGAAGTATCCGTGCGCACGCCAGGCCGTCGGCCGACCCAGCTGATCGTAGCTGATGTCCAGAATGGTGATGTCATTGCGCGTGCGCACCGACTGGCGCGACGACGCCACGTCATACTCCAGAGTCAGCTGAATGTCGCCGTTCACCTTCAGGTTTCGCCCCACCTGAAAACGGTATGATAAATAGCACTGTGAACGGCCCATTCAGAGCGGAGGGTATTGGACAAAGTTCCAGTTCGCACAGCCGCCGTTTCTGCAGGCGCGTCATTGTCATTGTCAGCGTCAGCATGATGTTAGACCTATAAACTCGCGCGCAGTAGTCACTGGGCTGAGTGCGCTTTCGACCAAATAAATGATGAGAGCAGCTGGCAGTGCTGAGGCAGCAATGCTGCACTACTTACAGACGCGTTAGATTGCTTGACCAAGGCGTTGGCTACTATTACCCGGCCACCGGCAATCTGCTCATCAATCGAGCGAGGGTAGCTCCACATCAACCCATCTAGCGAGGGTAACTACAGTTTAGCAAGCATGGTTAGCTCAACAATGTTATTCTGTCGGTTTTCGCAAACAGCGGGCAGCTGGTGCAGTCGTGGCACCAGCGGGCCGGCCGGCACCAGAAGCGGACCACACCAGCCCGCTTCACGACTCGCCGGCCCCGCTCCAGCACCGGTCTCCACTCAGCCCGGGCGGCGCAGAGCGCCATCGACCGCTCACCTTGGTGGATCCTCCTGCCGCGGCCGCGCGCCTGCTTCTCGGTGAAGTAGAGCCACTCGAACCTGTTGACCGGGTCTCCGGCCACCTCGAGCCGCTGCGAGCCGGGCGCCAGCAGGCGGCGCGCCTGCGCCGGCGGCTCGCCGCCCAACGCCGGATAGGTCACCACGTCCGTCAGCGTGGCGTGACCCCAGGGCGTCACGTGCTCCAGGTCACCGCCAGCCGACACCGAGGTCACCCAGGTGCCGGAGCCTGCGGCCGGTCGCGGTGAGGTCAGGGGCGCACTGGAGGCTCGGCAGGGCGACGACCGGGGGAAGACGGAGTCAGGGGGTGAGAAAAAGAACACTCCACGTCCTCGCAAACCTTTTCCATCCTCTGAGCCCATATCATATTTCCAAGCGGTTCTCTTGACGTATCTCATAAAGAGATGTTTAGGGTCACTCAAACCAAAGTATTTGTACTTCGGCGCGTGAACTCCAGGCGCCGGGAGCGAGAGAGCTCAGACAGCTCGAGCGAGAGACAGCTCGGTGTGAACTCCAGGCGCCGCGAGCGAGTGACAGCTCAAGCGAGAGACAGCTCGGCGCGCGCCGGTGAGCGCGGCGTCGTTGCCACAGCGGGACGCACCGTTCACCATGGTGACGGTGCTCCGCTGGATGAGCAGACTCTCGGCCGCCTTGCCGTCCCGGGTGACTACAACCGACGCGCCCCTGCTTGCTCAGATCAAAGCTCAGCCGCAGCACGTGACCCGTGGGGTGTCACGTGGACCGATCAGCCTGCCGTACTGGTCGTAGTCGTAGGTCGTGCTGCGGCCGGCAGCGTCGTACCGGGCGCCCATCAGTCCTTCGGCGGCCATCAGGGGTCAGCACCGGCTCTCGCGGCACCGGGGGCAGGGGTCAGCACCGGCGGCTCGCGGCCACCGGGATGGCAGGGGGTCAGTACCGGCGCTCGCGGTACCGAAGGCAGGGTCAGCACCGGCGCTCGCTGCGCCGGGGGGCAGGGGTCAGCACCGGCGCTTGCTGCGCCGGGGCAGGGCTCCGCTCCACAGTGCACGCGACATGGAAAGAGGACGAGCGGGATTCAGAGAACAATGGCTATCCGCGGCTGGGGACAGGAGCGCGCGCTTGTTCCACACTGAATGAGAAGGGTTCGCGGTGATTATGGCGCCACACACCGCAGCGTACGGCCTAGGGCAGCAGGCGACCACTCCTCTTCAAAAGCGTGGAATTGGAGATTGGGTTGAAAGCGAGTTCTCATCATCGCGGTGCTGCCAGCACCTACCCGAGGTGTCCAGGTACTCGAAGCTGGTGTTGAAGCGGTCGGGGGGTGATGAACTGCTGCAAGCTGCCCGCTGCTCGGAGACATGATCACCTCTGCACTTCTGACCCGAGGGTTGTCGATCGAGGTCACCTGGAGGTCACGGCTCACTCACTGCGATGGTTCGAAGACCTAAAGGTCTCTCCCCACCTGCGTTTGGTCAGTCAGCAAGCATCCTTTGGGATCCTTAGCGCTCATCCGAACGATTCATTGCTGCTGTACCCCTATACAGTGGTGTTCATTCAAACAAAGCAGCACGCCCTTTTCATAAATAACAATTGAAGCGTGCTGGAAACGGAATCCCCCTCCAATCTCTTCCAGCGCAATGCGTGGCTGAGCCCCAGAAGGCGCGTGTCGAACTTCTCAAACCAGACCGCCTGCCCGCACGGCCGCTACGCCTCCGACGTCGTCGGGCGGCTGGGACGGCGCGGGGCGTTGAGGTCGGCCACTCCGCCGCCCGCCGCCGGCCTCACCTGGTACGAGTAGTCGCGCAGGAAGGAGACCTTGTTGCCGATGGCGTCGGTGACCGAGCTCAGCCGGCCGTTGCTGGCGTTCAGGTTGTACGTGAACTTGTACAGCGTGTGCCGCGTCACCATGTTGCGCGTCTCCGTGTGCTGGCCGAACCGGTTGAAGACGTAGGTATGGCCGTCGTCGGGCGCGTGGATGTGGTAGCTGCCGCGCCGGTCCGGGACGGGCAGCGGCGCCGACACCGTGCGGATCCGGTGGTTGGCCTGGTCCGAGATGTGGACGGCACCGTCGGGCGTGACGGCCAGCGCCGCGATTCCGCCCAGCAGCGCGTCAGCCGCCAGCACGTGGTCCTCGTCAAAGCACCTGCGGCGGGGCGGAGAGTTCAAGGTGCGGCTGCTGTTCGCGGCTCTGGAGGTCTCGCGGGATGAACACCGTAGTGCCAGTGATGATTCCATAAGGTGTGACCTGTGGTGATGCCGCACCGAGCAGGGCCAGTGAAGCTCTAGGCTCCAGGGCAGGTTCCAGTGATCGGGAACTGCGGTAAGCCTCGCAGAGCACAACACGTGGCAGGTCATATCTGAAATAATCCTCGAATACTTCGGCTCCCACTATAAACCTACAGAGCCTTTAGAAGTAACAGCACAGCAGGTTAGTGAAGCAGACATCCACGAAACCAATAAGAGCAGTTAATGCGATTCAACGAACCACCACGTGCGGTGGACTACTAACGAACCGCGGTGATGGTACCCCATCGCACGCGCTCCATCCAATTATTTGAGCCCCATAGGTCACAGCACCCCCCCCCCCCGCCCGGTGGTCCGCGCGGCTGACACCGCCCTCAACTGCGGTAGAGCCCCACAGGCCACAACAGACCCCCGGTAGTCGGCGCGCGGCCGGCACCGCCCTCACCTGCAGTCGTCCTCGCGGCAGTTGCACTTGGACTCGGCGCCGGCCAGCCCTGAATCGTGCCGTCCGTCTGGATGACGCGCACGCGGTTCACACGCTGGCTGTCGCTCTCGGCCACGTACAGGTCGCCCTGGGGCGAGAAGGCCAGACTCTGCGGCGAGACGAGCGTCGACTGGGCGGCCAGCTGCGGCGGGCTGCGCTGCCGCCGCGACGGACACTGCAGCGGCTTGCCGGCCACCAGCCGCACCCGGTAGTCGGCCGTCAGCTGGAACACCTGCCGGCGCCGCCGCGGGCGGTCACTGGTCTAGGTTCGAGGACGCGACGCCTGCCAACGTCGCCCCGGGGCGGTCAGTGGCCTGGGCCCGAGGACGCGACACCTGCCGCCGCCGCCCAGGGGCGGTCAGTGGCCTGGGCCCGAGGACGCGACCTCTGCCGACGCCGCCGCGGGGTAGTCAGTGGCCTGGGTCCGAGGAAGCGACGCCTGCCGCCGCCGCCGCGGGGCGGTCAGTGGCCTGGGTCCGAGGACGCGACATCTGCCGGCGCCCCCGAAGGGGCGGTCAGTGGCCTGGGGTCCGAGGACGCGACCTCTGCCGACGCCCCCCGCGGACGGTCAGTGGTCTGGGGCCCGAGGACGCGACACCTGCCGACGCCGCCGCGGGCGGTCAGTGGTCTGGGTCCGAGGACGTGACCTCTGCCGGCGCCCCCGCCGGCGGTCAGTGGTCTGAGCCCGAGGAAGCGACCTCTGCCGACGCCACCGCGGGCGGTTCAGTGGTCTGGGCCCGAGGACGCGACCTCTGCCGGCGCCCCCGCCGGCGGTCAGTGGTCTGGGCCCGAGGACGCGACACCTGCCGGCGCCGCCGCGGGGCGGTCAGTGGTCTAGGTTCGAGGACGTCTTCTGGACGACGTCTTCGAGGACGACGAGGACGACGCCGGCCAACGCTGTGGAGAGGTCGCCATGATACACTCAGGCCAGCGTAGTCACTTCCCGATGGCCTGGAGGGACGAGTCCTGGACGTTTGGTCCTCAGTACAGAACATGACAAGGCCAGCTCACTCACCTGAGGTGATCTGTTTGACGCATGGTTATGTCACATTGGTGGCATGAGGGATTATCGATTCCATGGGCTGCCTATTCACGTTGATCTGACTCATAACACGCAAAAACATCGCCGTATGTTAGGGTAGACACAACAGCGCTCAGGAGGTCAAGGCATGAACTCCATAACGGGAGTGGGTCGTCCCCAAACCGTCGCCAAACTTAACAATACGCCTGTGGATTTGCATGAGAAAACACGTCCAAAAACTTCGTGATTCCCACCTCCTTAACGTCTCGCTCGTGACGAAGTTACAGACCTTTGAACAACCTATCACCTACATCTCACAGCAAAGGCAACTGGCATAACTGAGCACAAGCCCCGTTCGCATAAAACCTATCCCGAGCAGACCACCACGGCCGGCCACTCCACACGGAGTCAGCGGACGTACCATATGTGTGTGCTTAATAGCCGAGAGGTTAGGACCCTCGGCTTCCACGTGGGGGCCCGGGTTCAAATCCCGGTCAAACTATGGCTCCTGAACGTTAATGTGACCTTTTAAGTCACTGGCGCCCTACAATAACTGTCTGACGACATGCGCCACGTTCCCCACTCATCCAAAAGTAGAAAGGGGCGTACCATATGATCGTCGATAAAGTGCAGGCTGCCGTCCAGCGGCGAGACGGCCAGCTCAGTGGGCCAGCGGAGCAGCACCTGGTCCTGGCTCAGCGTGCCGATGCACGGGAACGGCCGCCAGTGGGACTTGTGCATGCTGTTGCCGACCAGCGTGCTGATGATCTGGTACGGGTCCACCACGCGAATGTTGGTGCCGTCCGCGAAGAACAGGCTGCCGTCCGCGCCCACGACGATACCTGCCGGCCACGCGGGGACACTGGAAACACGCTTTCAAAACAGGTCGCCGCCCGCCGCCACCTTGATACCCGGCGCGGCACGGGCGCGTTGGGCACGTCCTCGCAACGGACTGTCGTCCGTCCTCACCGCGACACCTGGCGGCGGAACGGAGGCCCTAGACACACGGTCACAACATGCTGATGGTGATAGGGAGACAGGCGTGATTATAGGCGGCCGACTGCATCGTCAGCAGAGGTGTTGCAGGCGATCTGACCGGCTCAGCTTTCCGACGCCGGGTCCGATGGTGGGAGCACTCAAACGTGGCAGACGATCGCCGTGGTAGCCGCGGTGATCCCGGTGGTGGCGTCACCCACCACACGAGTACCTCAGGCCGGTGCGCGGTCTCCCTCGCCTGCTGGTGGGGTGCCTTACCTTTGGGGTACGTGAGGCGGGCGTGGCGCGCGCGACCGCCGTCGCCACAGCCGAACTCGTCACCGGGCGGACACCTCTCGCCGTTGCCCACCACCGGCTCCAGGTTGGCGGCGGGTTTAGCTGGCGCGTGAGGTTGGCGCACGCGCAGGATCTGGTACGACTCTGGGTCGGACACGTAGACGGCGCCATCTAGCGGGCTGACCGCCAGGTGGTACCGGTAGGACACGCCCGTCGAGCTGCGGGAGTGGACCAATGTCAGGGCGTCCAGCCCGGACGGCCATCAGCCTCTGGGTACATCGTTTGCTCTGGGTACTCGGAGCGGGGGTGCAGCTGCACACTATGAAGCTGTCCTTCTTCACCATACGAGACTGCACGACGGCGATGCCGTCCTATCAACGAGAGTCGCATGTCCGGACAAAAGTTCCATATGCTTCTTTGGCGGCTTAGATGGCGCCACCGCAAGCGATCCCCGAATCTGTCCAAACGTCATCACCAGCCCCACATGACACCAGACCTGGACGTAGAGGCTGTTCCGTCAGTGACTGCATCACCTGAGCCGCGTCGACCCCGCCAGCCCGGCTCTCCCGCCCCTCGGTCCAGTCCGCGGCGTGCAGGCGCCACTCACTTGAGCTCGGCCACCGTCTCGACGCTGCCGGCGGGCGTGACGCGCCGGATCAGGTTGAAGTCGCCGATGTACAGCGACCCGTCGGCAGCGGCGGCCAGCGCCGTGGCAGCCAGCAGCCGCTGGCGCCCCGCAGCGCCCTGGCAGCTGCGGCAGGCGATCTCGCGCTGGTGACTGCCGCCCACGGTCGTACGCAGCAGCTGCGGCCGCTGGCGCAGGTGCACGTTCGTGCCGTCCCCCTTCTGGAGGATACCTGCCGGCGGCCAGTGGGACGTGAGCGCCGATACTGAGGCTCGTGCCGCGTCTTCCGCAGTGTTTCGGCCGCCGCCGGTGGGAGGTAAGGAGGGGGTCTGAGAGTGCTGACCGGCAGACGCCGCAGACGCGGCCGGCCTGATCAGGGCGGGAGCAAGGCGACGCCTCGCTGTTACCAGGCGGCCTTAGACTGCGACACCAACATAAAAGGCGATTAGGATCAGCGTCACTGCCAGAACACGCCCCGCCCACCAATGGCTTTCTTCGAATAAGTTTGTCGATGGTGAAATCAAGACAAATACAAAAAGCCACATCAAGACGAGCATCATGAAAAGTAGAGGCGGTGGGCTCAAATAAAATCTGCACATTACAAGGCATCGCCTGCAGACAAGCAACTTGCACGTAAAATGAAACATATGATTGGCAGTGAAAGCACGGTGCACGTGGTCGATACGCAGCGCAGAAACACCAACTGGTAAATCGGCCGAACAGACGCGGTACCTCGTGGCGTTCAACATTCCCACCGTTATGTTCCGCTTTAATCATGACTTAGATGTGCGCCAAAAATACATTGATCGCTGCCATTGAATGCCTATTTCTGCCATAAACTGCAGAACCAAATGAAGAAGCTACCAGGAGGTTCTGAAGGCAGCATCGCCGACAGCGTGCAGACATGACGACTTGCCTTCTGGAATGTTGTAGGCGTGGTGAATGTCCAGGTTCCAGCCGCCTATCTCGGAGATGCTGATGTCGCTGCCGGCTATGGTGGTGGTCTGGGTATCCCAGATGACCTGGGAGCAGTCGGCGTACTGGTACCCCACGCGGACGATCGCCGTCGTTACGCCGTACACGCGCTGGCTGTGGAAGCACAAGAACCGGGTCACTGGCTGTGTAGACAAGACAAGGGTCATTGGCTGTGTAGACAAGACACGGGTCACCGGCTGTGTAGACAAGACACGGGTCACTGGCTGTGTAGACAAGACACGGACCGCTGGGTGTGGGGACGGAAGACACGGGTCACTGGGTGTGGGGACGGAAGACATGGGTCCCTGGCTGTGGGGACGGAAGACACGGGTCACTGGGTGTGGGGACAGAAGACGCGGGTCACTGGGTGTGGGGACAGAAGACACGGGTCACTGGGTGTGGGGACGGAAGACACGGGTCACTGGGTGTGGGGACAGAAGACACGGGTCACTGGGTGTGGGCACAGAACACGGGTCACTGGGCGTGGGGACAGAGTATATGGATAACTACGGGCGAATATACGGGTGAGGAGACAAGATACGGGCTGCTGGGCGTGGGAACAAAAAATACGGGCTGCTGGAGGTGGGAACAGAAGGTCCGCGTCACTGATAGACAATGAGATAATAGATAGGGGATAGCAGACAGTGGTCACTGGGCGTTGGCGCAGACGGCACGTGTCACTAGACGCGAGGACACACCAGGCGTCACGACAGCAGACAGGAGCCAGGGGCTGCGTCATTCGGTGTGGTGATGCACGGCCACTGGGCGTGCGGACGGACAAAGGCATTTGGCGACCATACCACAGAATAGATGACTCGTCAACGAATGTCACGGTTTTGTGCTGTGCCGTGCTGCCTGAGCGATTCCATATGTCATGTTTGCTGGTAATAAATCTGGGATTCATCACGATGTGGCATATCAAAGTGGATATCGTCGGCACATTCCACCGATGATCTTTTCATGATTCGCCGAAACAACGTACATGGAGTTACATAGTACATACTAAAACAGGGCAAATTAGCTTTTAATCTTAAGGTCAGCAGGATCGACTTAAGTATGTACATGTTAAGTGCATATATGTATATATCGTGGTGTTATGTATAAGTGGATGTGATTGGGGAGCCATTCGGATGCGGCTAGTAAAACATGTATCCCCCCTTGAAGATGATATGCACCGATGCATGCGACAGCCTCGATTCTTATAATGGCAGCTAATGACCGTTTGTGAAGTAAGTTGTCATGATGTTACAGTCTCCATCGACTTCTAGAACACATCAAGCATGTTATCCTCGAGAAATACCGCTTGACTGAGCAGACCTCCTGCAAAGAGATGAACAACTGGATGATAGTGGCTGCATGAGGATCCGAACGTAAAGGCCTGGGTGACAGAACTGCATGAGGATCCGAACGTGAACAACTGGACGACAGCGGCTGCATGAGGATCCGAGCGTGAAGAGCTGGGCGACAGCGGCTGCATGAGGATCCGAGCGTGAAGAGCTGGGCGACAGCGGCTGCATGAGGATCCGAGCGTGAAGAACTGGACGACAGCGGCTGCATGAGGATCCGAGCGCGAAGAGCTGGGCGACAGCGGCTGCATGAGGATCCGAGCGTGAAGAGCTGGGCGACAGCGGCTGCATGCCGGCACGGCTCATCAATAATGCCGGCTGCGCGTGGCGTGACGGGTGACGGGTCACGTGGCGGCGCCCGTCGGCGGCCGGCTGGTGGCTCCTAATGTTGACTCGCACCCCAGCATGCCATCGTGTTTACACGGCCGCGCGGCGCCGGCTCATTTCTGGGAAAGCTGCAGTCAAATCTCGGTCTCAGAATCGCTCGCGATCCGTGCGGTGGTTTGCCTCGTCTCCGAAAATCAGTGGACCATCGAGGCGTCTGTGTCTGTTCAATGGACGTAGAAGGCGGCTGGTGAAACTCATTCGGCTGTTCATATCTGGTGATTCTGCCATTTCAGACGGGGATGTGTATGAGTGTGCAGCTAACTGGACTAGGCAGGCAGTTACAGTTATGTGTTCTTCTACGTCATGCCGCTCTGTGGCGTATCAACATGACATCCTTACAGATAATTATCCAGCACGCACCCGGGTGTCCAGTTGGATACCCTTCGCTCGGGTGGAGGGGTCAATTTGACCCCGTGAGATCTCGGAATCTAAGAGAGTGGGAGACATGGAATTCACAAGGTGTGTTGGCCTGTACGTTTGGTCACTGGTCAATTTTTGGGGTTACTAGGTCATGGCCTTCGGGATCAATAACGTTAAACAAGTTCAATTCCAGGTTGGCGTCCAAAGCTACCCCAGAACCCAGACAGCTGTTCGAAGCAAAAGGTCACATGCTCACTGAGGGTCAGTGACCTTTTTCGAAGGTCACGGTGGCCAAAATAATGCAGAATTGTTTTGAGTTTTGCATTTGATTAAGCGACAAAGATTGTGCTAGGCAGTATATTCCAAAACAAAGTGCCAACTTGGGTTATTTAAGGTCAGTGACCTATTTGGACCTTTAAGAAATCCATGAAAGGTGGACAATTCGGTTCCTGTTATTAATAAATTCGAAATGGTCACCGAAATTACCCCATACATCAAGCCCTAGAGTAAAAAAACGGGTTGGTATTAACCTTAGTCTGGCCTTTGTCCCTGACCCAAGGTCAATGGAAGTTGTTCATTCAGTTCTTGTGTTGCCAATAAAGTATCTCAGAGATGTGTGACTTCGTCTAAAACCTCGCTGTTGCATCGGATTAAACCACTCCCTAGAAATTGACTTCACTGAATCCATGGACTAACTTTGACCTGCCGTAGGCCGGCGACCTTACAAGGTATCTCCAAACTTTTAACACCAGATAATCTGCCAGTCAATTGTCTACAGCTATGCAAAATGTGGCGCGGCTACGCCACACCGTTATGAAACCATTCCGGAAAAACCTTTGGGGTGCCAAATTGATCCCCACCCGACCGCATGTTAACGTCCCCAGTTTGTACTCCCTACACACCCGATTAAGGTACGTTTGCACTTGAAGATAATCGTGCAAACGCCACCACTTCTATTTTGCTGGCATCTGACGTCAAAAAGACGTTTTACGGCACATACGTGCAAGCGAACAGGCTACCATCTTTTCTCCATCGATTCAAACAAAAGCACCCTCTGGTGGATATGTCATAAGCATCACGTATCGGTCTTCCATTCGCGTTGCATCATTGCACCCATTTATAGCGTTCAAGGTTTCCTTTGGAAGATGCCTTACAGTACTGACAAAATGGCACGATTTACTTCCATACTAAATATGTTGTGCAACAATACAAACAGTATGCACAACAATAGATAGCTGATCCTGTGACCCTGTGCTCCTCAAAACGACACACGCATGCATGCGTGGATGCACGTCACCCGCACACACCTGTACACGTTGAGCCGGTTCCAGGAGTAGGTGTACTTGATGTTGGGTTCGGCCTCGAACGTCTTGCTGACCAGCTCGCCCTGCAGGTGCACGCGCAGGTGGACCAGACGCAGGGAGGGCGCTACCGTCTCCGGCGTCAGCTGCAGCTGTATGGTGCTCTGGTAGCCGCGGCTGCGCGACGAGTGGTACACCAGGTGCAGCTCGGTGGCCGGCACCGGCAGCGACTCCTGCACCACCTGCGACTCGGCCAGCACGGCCGATTCGCCGGGACAGCCGCCTGCCGGCGCGCCGCGGTTGTCATTGATGGGCTCCCACGGACCGTGGGGAGCGCCCTTCCCCTGCCGCACCGGGCACCTGCGGAGGTGCACGCAGACCTGCCGCCGCCAGCTTTCCTACACGCAGGGGTTGGCGCTAACGACCCGTCCCCCTGACCCCCGGCAACAGATACAGAGAGCTTCACAGCCGACTCGGCCGGGCGTGGAGAGGATTTCACGCCCCCTTCCCCCCCCCCCCCCCGGTGACGCTTCATAACAGGCAGAGACTGATCGCCACATCTTCGGCAGCGCACTCACCCTGGAACTCGTGCTTCCAGCTGGCCAACACCACAGGCTTCATGATGTCGTAGTCGTGGTGGGCGCAGGTGGGCTGGCCACTGTAGACGGCGGAGGCGGCCAAGGTCGTCAGCGCCACGTCATCGATGACGACAATCTGCCAGCGGAAGAGATAGTGACATCAGAGCCGACGTCATCGATAACGTGTCCGACGGTAAGCCGGGTCCGACTCGGCTAGGAACGAAATAATACGTTGACAACAACGTCAGCTGTGATAAAGGCACATATCAAGGTGCTTATGTGAAACACGGTGTGGACATTTTTTCTAATAAACGTCGTCGCCGCCATTTGGGCTTTACGACGCACTCAGCTGCTGAGGTTGTATGGCGTCGCCTGCCTCTCACCGTGGCAGGAAGGGCGGGCACCGCAGGAATTGAACCCCGCATTTCTGGTTTCCCAGACACGCAGCTTTACCAGTACACTGCCGGTACCTTTTCTAATAAGCGTTAAATGTCGTTGCTGCATCGATTTGCTTACACTCGAATTCCTGGCCATGATCAAGAATGTGACCTTTGATGCCGACAAAGGCACGTGAGTAGGCATGGCCCAACGTCCGCACTTTGCCAGCCTCATTGATATCTGCCACGTGATTAATTTTACGTGCGACCATTGCCAGAGTGTACACTGGCGAGGCCTGTGGGCAGCAGTAGGCCCCGGCTGGCTGGGCCCTGCTGCTGCTGGGGCCTGCTGGGCCGGGTCTGCTGCGGCCTGTGGGCAGCAGCAGGCTCCAGCCAGTCGGGGCCTGCGGACAGCAACAGCTCCCAGCCAGCCGGGCCGGCCAGCGCGTACCTCATTCCAGGGCACGTGCAGCACGCGCTCGACCGGCTGGAACGGCGAGCGGCGGAACCAGAGCTTCACAGCGCCGCCGCCGTTGACCAGGAAGTCGAACCAGCCGTGGCGCCGAGTCAGCGTGAACCCCTCGGCGGGGTTCTCCGAGCTGACGCGCACACCCGGCACGCCGTAGCCGGCGTCGGTGATGACCCGACCTCGCAGCACGGCCGCCCGACTGCAACGGCCGGCAAGGTCAGCGGGTCACGGGAGTCGGCAGAGGGTTACGGGAGCCGGCAGCGGGTCACGGGATCCGGCAGCGGGCCACGGGATCCGGTAGCGGGCCACGAGAGCCGTCAGCGCGTCACGGGAGCCGTCAGAGGATCACACCTGACCAGGGCCACAGAAGGGCCACATGGCCACAGGAGAGCTCGACATGTTGCGAGGGAAGTTCAGGCATCAAAGGTGTAGTCCGGGGGTCATGAGACTTTCGAGTGTTTCATGGGAGCTCGGAGGGTCCCAAAACGGGTCAGAGAGCCAAGCGGGTGGTCAAAGGGTCACGGTTCAGAAGGCCACAGGAAGGGTAGAGTCGCAGCCACCCGGCTGTCACGCGCCACGCGAGTGTTCAGAATGTCTTTGCAAAACAGTGGTATAAGTTCCGGATGGATATACATCCGGACGGATATAATGATAACACCGCCCCTTCTTCCCAAAAAAAGGACTTAACGCTATGGAAGGGGCGATTAAACTATCCCGAAAGACGAAAAAACGCGACATTTGCAAATCATCAAGATGTCCTCAACAACCATTTTTCGACACTTGTTATGTTGATTTGATCTATGATGAACAAAACTAATGGATCACTGATGCAGTCAAGTTTGCATACGGCCTAGCCTTACAGATTACAGCGGACACTGCTATGTAAGAGCGGACATACTATAACGATGCAAGCAACAGCGCCGATCTCATGCTGATAATGCGCGAGGCAAAGTTCACATTGCATCACGGAATGTGCATACCTCTGAGGAGACGGTATCACACTCAAATGCCACTACGTGTTTTACCAGCATGCGAGCGTTGGCCAGATATAGCCACAGGTGCGATGTTCACCTAGTTTGTATTCCGTGCGAAGAAACGTTAGAAATGCAGCCCATCATATTTGTCCATTACAAAAGTTCAAGCGAATATAATGTGCATGAATGCGTACATTTAAAGGATGGAAGGCACTCTTAGCGTACACAAATATAAAGAAGCTTCAAAAGTTTTTAGATGCTGTCTGCGACATAGAAGACTAGCAAAACACAACCATGTGATGAGCAGAAGACATGTAGAAAAGCATCATTGGGAACTTCGTACTCCTTAAACTTACCTGGCGTTAAAGCTTTTCCAGAAAAGACTGCCGCACGCAAAGAAGGGACAGTTGTAAAAAGGGTTGTTTAGGCACATATAGCATAAGCTACAACTCTAGACACCATATAACTACGGACCCCGCTTATCAGTTGTCACTTAAGCCAGTTATGTGAACTTTAATGGTAACGGCACGAAGGGACCGCAAGGATCATAATAACATTCAGTGACGTCTACTAACATGAGCTACTGACAGTTAAGGCCAATGCTTAATACACATCGTAAGCTCAAAGGAAAGGATAACACATCGATTACTTCCACCGCCCGACGTGGTAAACACCGCCATCAAATCGGTCCTAACGCCGGCGGATGACAACACCCTAACCGAGCCCCGTGGGGACCCCCAGGTCTCCCGGTTCGCTGCTGGGTAAAATGAAGCTCACGAGGTTCGGCGCGCACGCTCCTTTCTCACATACGTGCCGGGTACACCGTACAGAGGGAGGAAGTAATGACGTAGCGAGGTATATAGCTGGAGTGCGGGGATTGCGTACTTTGAAGAGACGCGGATGTGATTACGGGAGCTTGTGATCACATCTCCGTCTCTGTTTCCTCTCATTGGGACCTATCTGACAGCCCTGACGTGAACGGTCTTGCAGCGCTTTGATTCAAACAACATTTCGTCCTCTGACTTATGACATGACTAAGAAATATTTCAACATAATCAAAGCCAGTAGCATACCTTGTCAGAGTGAGCCGACAAAACCAAGGGAGGGTCCGATGTCATCGCCACGCAGGTGAAATACAACCTGTAAGTGGCAGACTCCATCGCAGGCCTACCTCCCCCAGAACACCGTGTGCACTGTCAGGGCTGCCTACCCACATGTGGGAAGTATTGCGAGGCCACCTAAGTTGCGACCATCACCTCCATTAACTGTCAATCCCAGCGATGACACCGGAGGAGGGGAGAGGTGGAAGCGAGCCCGTCGACGCCGACACGCAGCCCGACCGGCGCCGGCGGCGGCGACGGCGACGCTCGCCGCCGGGCCCCGAGACCCACCTCTGGTTGAAGGCCTCGCTCCGGGCGTAGCGCTGCACGCTGTCCTCCTCGATCAGGAACTGGCTGCGCTCGAAGAAGGAGGCGGTGATGCGGGGCGGGTGCTTGCCCAGCAGCACCTCCACCGGGTCGGGCGAGCTAAGGCAGAGCTGGCTGGCGGCGCAGGCCGGCGTCCCGCAGCACTCTGGGTCTTCGCAGTCGCGCAGGCCGTCTGTCGGCGGCGCCGCGCCGTCAGGTCAGCGGCTCCCTCCCTACGTCAGCCGAGATCACCGCTGATGCGTGACCGCGCATCTACTGTCAGACATGTCGCTACGGAAATATTCGACGTGTCAGCGTGTGAGCTTCTGCGGCAAGGAAGAGAGAAACGGGAGCATGAGGAGAGCAAGCCCTATTTAAGCATGCTGTACTGGTTCATCACGCTGTCACTATCATTTAGACCTTCGCCTTTAAGTTGAACTTTAGATGAGCTGACGTGAGGCAGCGCTGGCCCTCCAGCGACACAAAGCTTTGAGCTAGTCAGCTCAGTCTAGAATAGCCGGCCTGAGCGGAGCCCGGCTGTCGGCGGTGGGACAGCGGCCTACCTTTGTCGTTGTCGATGTCATCGGCACAGTCGCTCTCTAGGGGCAGGGAGCAGTCATCGCCGAACCAGCCCGAGTCGCAGCTGCACCGCCACTCGTACGTGTAGGACATCTGGCGGGCAGAGACGTGACCAATCAGCTGATCACCACCTCCGCGGCGGCCGCCCCGGGGTGGGGTCAGCCGGTCACCACCTCCGCGGCGGCCGTCACAGCGGGCCCGGGCAGGTCAGCTGGTCACCACCTCAGCGGCGGCCGCCCCGGGCTGGGGTCAGCCGATCACCACCTCCGCGGCGGCCGCCACGCGGCCGGGCTGGGGTCAGATGATCACCACCTCCGCGGCGGCCGCCCCGGGCTGGGGTCAGATGATCACCACCTCCGCGGCGGCCGCCCCGGGCTGGGGTCAGATCACCACCTCAGCGGCGGCCGTCCGCCGGCCGGGCTGGGGTCAGATGGTCACCACCTCCGCGGCGGCCGCCCCGGGCTGGGGTCAGCTCACCACCTCCGCGGCGGCCGCCCGGGCTGGGGTCAGCTTCACCACCCCCCTCGGCGGCCGCCCCGGGCTGGGGTCAGATGATCACCACCTCCCGGCGGCCGCCCGGGCTGGGATCAGATGATCACCACCTCCCCGGCGGCCGTCCCGGGCTGGGGTCAGATGATCACACCTCCCCGGCGGCCGTCCCGGGCTGGGGTCATGATCACCACCTCCCCGGCGGCCGCCCCGGGCTGGGGTCAGATGATCACCACCTCCCGGCGGCCGCCCCGGGCTGGGGTCAGATGATCACCACCTCCCCGGCGGCCGCCCGGGCTGGGTCAGATGATCACCACCTCCCGGCGGCCGCCCCGGCTGGGGTCAGATGATCACCACCTCCCGGCGGCCGCCCGGGCTGGGATCAGATGATCACCACCTCCGCGGCGGCCGCCCCGGGTGGGGTCAGATGATCACCACCTCCCCCGGCCGTCACAGCAGGCCCGGGCTGGGCCAGTCAGCGACCGGCCCAGCGTTACATGCAGCGGCGTCACGTGACACCGGCCGGTGACTCCACCTTCAGGCAGACTCCGGCGACTCCACCTTCAGGCAGACTCGATGGAGCAGCATCGGCTCATAACGTGTGGGGCGGTTTGCTCTGACGGCCCGACAGGAGGACGAAGTGCTGTGCAGACGTCCTCCAGGTGTGACATGCGAGACACTGAGGCGCCTCAGCCTACGCGGCGCACGTCTCCTTGCGTCTCCTCGATGGCTTGAAGGTTGGCGCGCGCCATCATATCTTACAGCGCGTCAGTTTGAAGAGCAGCTTTATGGTGGTGTATGGGGGCTAGCCGGCGCGATTTGATATTTACCGCTGGCATGTACTCGTAAACACCGGTGTGGCATCAGCCACAACATGTAAACATCTGGAAGAGTGGGCAGGGCAGGTTAAAGATCAGGGACATCACCAATGAGAGAGGGGCCCAGTGGCCCTGCCTCCCCCAAGGACCAAAGGGCCTATATAACACCCTTCTCCGGCGCCGGCACTACGACACCGTTGCCCGAGTGGTATTGCCACTAAATAATTGATTGGCTCTCCAGAGCTTGACGCCCTACATTCCTGCCAGTCCACTTCGTCTTAAATCTCGACGGTGGACTTTTCGCAAAAGGTCGGGATTGGAGCACGTCGGAGGGGGTAGTGATACCGTGTTAGTCTTGGTCATATCCATTAGTTCACGATAAATTTTCTTTTCGCGTTACCGTAGGGACCATTGCACTAGTTTCACTGCACTGGTGCTGACGACCGTGATTATCACTAATAGAGACAGGCTGAAAAATAAATAAGATATCAATAATATCAAAAAATGAAAACATTGATAGCCCATAAAAATGATAGACTAAACGTTCTGCCAATAATGAGACCGGAGCAGCCTTGGCCTTCTTCAGTCTCTCCCTCATGTTCAACTGTTGACAGCAACGCGACATTGCATCAAGAAATGGGTGCGCTCTTGCTAAAGCCAGCTGAGGATGAGTGAGCCAATTTCAGAAAGACCAATTCTCAGTATGCTTCTGATTCGTTATATTATAACCGACGCCCCGCCGTTCAGAAATCCTTTGTATCATTGGCATGGCCCTCTGCACTGTGCGGCGTTCACCCGAAGCCAGTCAAACGTGACATCTCCGAAAAACGCGGCCTCTGCCACAGCGCGAGGCAGCCGCTAGAGCAATGCCACTCCGGGTGCAGGCCGCCAGAACGGAAGCGCCGGCCTCGCCGATGGGAGCCGCCAGCGACGCTCTGAATAATGATCTTTCTCTGAAAATCTTAATGAAGAGCGCGATAAATTGGATTTCTGTGAGACAAACAGGCTGGAGGCGCCGCGAGGAAAACAGACGAGCCGGGCTAGACCAGGGTCGACTCAAAGGCGAGGAAATCGAGATGCACCGGCCACGTTAATGTGACTTAATCAATGGTCGTTTTCGCTAAGCCGCGCGCTGACGAAAGGAGATGGACTCATTTGTGACCTGTCAACTGACGCATACACAACATGCCAAATTAACTCGGCTGCAAGCAGAGCGAACTAGCGGAGAACATATGGCGCGGGGCTCAAATGCTGATTGCCTCGCCCTGATTATGACTAATTGGAAATCGGTGCACTGGGGCGCATGTAATGTGCCTAGAACACATTTTTTTGCGACCCAGTCGTATTTTGCTCGCAAGGCAATGCACCCACGAGAACGCAGTCGCACATAGTTGAGTGTGCTGAAAATCGCGACTTGGCTCGAATGATTTTTATAGCGACGCATGCAGAGTTGCATCGTGTTGCTAAATTGCGCGCACCTCGTACAACTTTAATGAATAAACCAACGTCATGTGGCTGCCTATAGGTATGCCGGGTGACTCAATAATTTTCCCGGAATCCAATCAGTTTTTGGGACAGGTCTCGGAATTCATCAGTTTTTAATTCCGGTGCCGCACCTGACAGAAGCGACAGTAGAGGTGACGCACCTGTCAGGGGCTGCGGGAGCGGCGCCGCACCTGACAGCGGCTGCGGCCCAGGCAATGTACCTGTCAGGGGCCGCGGGAGCGGCGCCGCGCCTGACAGGGGCTGCGGTCCAGGCCATGTACCTGACAGGAGCCGCGGGAGCGGCGCCGC